CCGCCGGCTCCCTCTGGCCGCTGTCGGGGTGCCAGTGGTTTTGTTTGAAGGGGTCGGATAGGCAATTCTTAAGAACTTGTTCATTTTCTGTCGGACCTCGTTTATTTTGAACTAGCTTAATTGTGGGAACTACCACATCACATTTCTCTTCATCAGGTGGTTCCCCCTCAATGAATGTAAAATGAACACTAATTTATCTTCCGGGTAAAAAACTACTTTTTATACATCGTGCTTAAAAAGCTTGTGTAGTGCCTTATGTACAAGAAAAATGGAGATGAATTTAGATCTAACGGTGGGAAGTAAACCTCCCATAAAATGGGGTGTGTGAACCTACGTTGGACATTCTGAACAATATTTCCCTTTGAATTGTCAATTTTCTTGGAAAATGAAATAGGATGTAAGTATTCCCTGTTCTTTGATGTGAATTGTGAGGTGTGGCTGTCTTTCCCAGTTTACTCAAATTATGACATAATGTGGGCTTTTATTAAATACAGGGTGAAGCAACAGTAGGTTTACCGTTCTGAGTACATAAAACAGTTTATTCTTGTATCATTACCTTTTAATTGTATTCTTTTCCATACGGAAAACCGTAAACCTACTTTTGCCCCACCCTGTATTTATTGAGTGATGCAGCAAGAAATGCCACAAAGACCCATTGAGACAGTTGGCTGTAGTGCTATTGTCAGGGATTAAAGCACTTTTTGTCACTTTAGGGGGAATAGAATAGCATGCATTTTTATTTAATTTAAATAAGTGGCTCAATTCAGTTGTAATTGTGCATTTGCAGGAGTTGAAATGATTGTACAAGGTTATGAGTACTTTAATGTTGCACTATCACTAAAATTGCAGGCATTCTTAGCCCCTGAAGTTTGGTATATGTGGGGGGAAAAACTGCTTAGGGAAAGGATGGGAAAACTCATATGAGGTCATCAAACCTTTTTAGTTGTGATAAGAGTCTAAATGTTCCCCCATTGAAAATAATGCAGGCTTGTACTATTGAAAGCATTTATAATGGTGCCTTCTAGCCTCTACACCCTTTCAATATTTATCGCATGCTTTTAAGATAACTGCTTTGCTATTGCAGCATGAGAACCTCAAGCATTTTACCTCCATTACAGTTGCAGCTGTAATGTGCATGACATTGGTCACATTTAATGCAGGGAATTGCTGATAATCCACCTTGTCAACAGATTTCAAGAAGGGTTCCATGAACATATTAGCTAGCTTTGTTTTGACCAGCTCTTGTTATTTGCTACTCACAAAGTTAATGTGCTATATTCTTAATTTTTATTGAAGTGATCTGCTTTTAAGGTTTCACTGAAATCTTAAAAAAGTAAGTTAGTGATGGTTTGAATAGCTTCATAATTGATGAAATATTATGATTTCCTAATATTTTCTGCTAATTTTTCTCATACTTCAGTTTTTACCATGTCATGTCACTTCAGTTCTAGGCTATTGGGTGTTGAGAAGGAGTTAATGGTACAATATTTCATAGCCAAAAAGGAACTTCAGACTTAAAAATAAATCTTTCTTAATTCTTTTTGGAAAGGTAAGCACATGTACTTCTACAAGAGGTGTAAGCATGTTCATGTATTTACCCACTAAGAGTCTTTGATTCTGATTTCTTTTCAATTTAAGGTTACCATTAAGAATATCGAAAGAGAGCTCATTTGCCCAGCATGCAAGGAGCTGTTTACCCACCCGTTGATTCTCCCTTGTCAACATAATATTTGTCATAAGTGTGTGAAAGAACTCTTACTGACGCTTGATGATTCATTCAATGACGTGGGATCAGACAACTCCAATCAGAGCAGTCCTCGACTTTGGGTCACCTCCCCTAGCTTGGATAAAATTGACAGGATTAACAGACCAGGTATGTAGTAGAACATTGGGGTCGGGGAATTTCATTGATTACTGTGGAAGGAAATTATTTTTGTCATTTTTCAGGGTTAATCTTTCCAGGTGAATAAATTAAAACTTTAGTTAAATGAGCTCTTTTTTTTTCTTGTTAATCTTCATAACATTTGTCATTATTTAAATAGTAGTGGAATTCTGTAATAATGATAGAAGTAGGTCTAATGAGAAGTATAGCATATACTAGTATACTGTACCTTTATTATTTACCCAATGTTTAAATTGTTTCCTGTTGGGATAGTTACTTTCTTCTGGACATCCATAGTAAGATTAATGCAGATCTAAATTAATTTGTAATCATTGGGAACAGGGCCACTGAAAAATGAAGGGCCAAAGTCAGTAGTGAGGACCAAGGGAGGCCTAGGTTGGGTAGAAATACCACAGCATCATGTTAGGCATGCTCTTTGTATGGAGAGTGCTTGAGTGGCCATAGCATCAGACTTCAGGGCTTCAACTCTGCCTAATTTGATCTTTGAGGTTTTAAGTTTAATCCTTCCCTCCTCTCTGTTCATTTCTTCCTCTTATAGTATAGGAGTAACTTTTTAATCTTGTAAGAAAACTTTTCTTATCAGAAAAACATCTCTCTCTATTTAGATTTTAGGGAATGCCATCTATTTTGGTCTATGCTGTGATATAAAGTCTCCTTGGGTGACATTTATGTCTTTGTGCTCCATCAAAGAGTGGATAAGAGTAGATTTGTTGTAAGACTAGTATTATGCTATTTAAAAAACATGTATTTTTCTTCAAATGGTAAACACTAAGATATTTTGCACATATAAAAATTATACATATACAGTCATGTGCTGCCCAATGATGGGGATACATTCTCAGATCCCCATCATTAGATGGCACATGACTATATAGGTATAATTAGGCGTTTTAGTGCTTGTGTGAACATCATAGAGTGCACTTACACAGGCCTACTACACATTATTATAGAGCCCATTGCTTCTAGGCTACGGTCCTGTACATGACATTACTGTACAAAACAACACGAGATTAAATCAAATACAAGAGATAATGATGTGATCAAGAGACACAGAAAACACAAGATGTATGAGACTATTGCTGGTGTAATATGGCATACTGTTTTACAGGACACTTTTTTAATAAGTAGAAGGAGTACACTCTAAGGAGAAAAAGTATAGTACAATAAATATATAACCTGTAACATAAACATAATCATTTATTATCATTATCAAGTATTATGTCCTGTACATAATTGTATGTGCTATACTTTTACATGACTGGCAGTAGATTTGGTTACACCAGCATCACCACAAACACGTAATGTGTTGTGCTACTGTGCTAGGATGGCTATGATGTTGCTAGGGGACAGATTTTTCAGGGCCGTTATAATCTTATGGGGCCACTGTCTATGTCACAAACTGTCATTATGCAGCGCATGACTGTATGCAAACAAGGAGCATTAGGTAACTGGGAGTGCAGGGAGTAGGAGGTCCGAGAGGGTTATGCTCATTGTGAAGTCATCACTTTGTTTCCATCCCTAGGAAACTGGCACACTGAGGAGGGGAAGACAGACAGTAACAGCCTGATATTCTAGATCCTTACTGACTAATTAGGGACCCCTGCTTGACTGGCCAAGGAAAATTTACTTTTTGTTTGTTAATATTTAGCACAGGCCATTAAAGGGAATTTTAGTTGTGTACTAGTATTTCTATTTATAATTCGATTGTGCTTACATATGTATTTTATGAAATCCTGTATCTTATGTAGGCTTCTAATCTTAAGACTTGTTTAGTTTTTATATGTGATTAATATGAAGTAGGAATGAGATATAGATGAAATACAGTGAACCATTTCTCTTTTCAGTAACTTACCTACCACAATATTCAATAGATGTTTAATAAATATGTGTTGAGTGGATGTTAAATGACACACCTCTGCTGCAAGATTTGTTCAAAGCATGCCATACGACTTATATTCAATAATGGCGTTTTTTCCAGAAGAAGAGACCTATACCACCATACTTGACTCTGTCTAGATCAAACAGAATTCCTGAGATGTTCCTCCCCCTTCTTTAGGAAGAACTCTATTAAGTTGGGTTATGTCGTGAAGGGAGGAAGTTAGAAAACTTTTCTGTGAACAGTTATAGGAAATAAGAACATTTAACTTGGAGAAGGGACAGCTGCAGAATATGATGGCTGTCTTGTGGAAGAGAACAGAACCCTGGGCATCTTCCTTGCAAAGGTTCCAGATCAAGGAACCGATGAAATACGAAGGCAGATTTCAAGTTAACGTGAGAGAAAACAAACACTTAAGCCTGTCCAAAAATGAAATGGGCTGCCTGATTTTGTCAGATCACTGTCACTAGAAGTGTTTAAATTGGAGGCAAATTTGTGATTTTTCATAGAGGTCAAATTTAGATGCCATATTGCAGGGGACAAATAGGTACATTAATGAAGCAGGCCCCAGAAAAATAAATACAGGACCTCTGTCATTTTAATTCTTTGATATAGGCATAGAGACAATAAATATTTCACTTTCTCATTAACTCTACTATAAGAAAACCAGTGGCCCAAGTGTCAGCAGCCAGCTGACTCTTGGCCAGCCCTGCTGAAGATAGTGGGTGTGGTTTGGGACTGTAGAGACCGGAATGGATGCCTTGTCTAACGGAGCAGTAGCCGTTTGGCACTAGTGAATTCTCATATGAGTTTGGGAATTCCAGATCGTTGGATTTACAGTTTTTTCCCCTAACAAAAACCTGATAGTGTTTTGATGTAAAGTCTGTTTTTTAAATGTTGGCAGTCAATTCAAATTATTTAAAAACACTCTGCAAGCTCAACGTAGGGTCAGGGCAGCCAAAACACATCTTTGACTCTGACCCATCCAGCTTTTGGGCCACGAGTGTTTGGAGTTTTTGTTTTAAACATTGGATGGGTGACCATCATTAGCAGGTATTGTAGAGGGGATTTCTGCCTGGGGTGGTAAGTCAGGCCAGTTTTGTTATATCATCTTCCATGTAATCTCTCACCCTGAAGGGCTGTGCCTCTTTGTGTACCAGTTGCATTCATTCATTTGCCAAATATTTAAGTTACCTGCTAGTTATGAGACATGGCTAAATGAGAGATGCAATAATTAGAACACCGTCCATCAAGAATGTAAAAAGTAAGTTAACAGATACAGATAGAGCACTTAGAGGGTGAGAAGGCTCCAAGTATAGTCAGTTCTGGAGGTTTTTAGCAAATTAATGCAAATTTTAAGATTTCCTATCTCACAGTCACCAGTTTTAAAATAGTTACCCTCCATTTGAGGGGCATTTGCCTATAACTTTTCTTTGGATAGATTCAAACCTAAATTCATGGGTAAGTTTTTTAAGAAATAATTTTTCATCATTTAGATATGTTTGAGAAGGAAACCAGAGACCCTATTCTGAGTAATTGATGTGGGAGGAATAGAATTTTAAAAATGAGTTTGCCATTGGTTTATTAAGGGGTTAATTAGGTCGGGACTGTCCAGTACAGTAGCCACTAGCCACATGTGGCTGTTGAGCACTGAAATGTGCTAATCTGAATTATATGTAAAATACACACTGAATTTTGAACACCTAGAATGAAAAAAAAAAGAATATAAAATAATCTCTTTATAATTTTTATGTTGGTTACATTTTGAATTGCTAGTATTTTGGATATACTGGGTTAAATAACATTATTAAAGTGAATTTCACCTGTTTCTTTTCTCTCTGGTTACTGGGAAATTTAAAATATGTGGCCTACACTTTAGGCTCCCATGATCCTTTGGATCGCACTGCATTGGACATTTGACAAGATTTTAAAGGTTAAAGTGCCTTTAAAGGAGAGTAAGATTTGTGTATATAAAAATTACATATTAAATTATGTAACAATAAAAAAGCTATATTACTATATATTTTAATCATATATATGTAGACTTTCCTCCTATTTTGTATTTCCTTTTGTCAGAAAGATCTAGTTGGTTTTAGTAATGTTTATTTAGTGTTATTTACAGCAGTAAAAAAGTTAAACAAAAAATGCTTGATTTTACTTTGTATTTTCAATGGTTACCAGAAATATGATTATTTAAAAATACAAATCTATAAGATAAAGTGTAGGTCTTTTAATTGCTATACCAGTACTGATTAATTCTGAACTCTAAGATAAGCTTGATGAATGTTTTACAGTGATAGCTTCATAACTACCATGTGTACCAGGAAAAACACTTTTTTTTTTTTTTACTGTTAACTCAATAATTGTGTTATATGCAGAACAGTTACTGCTTTATCTTTTGTTAACAAATTGTGAAACTTCTCTTTTAAATTAAATTCTAAATCCAGCTTTCTGTTCATTGTTCACAGCATCACAACGGAGATCTTTGGGGTGGAGAGGTAGAAAATGCTTTATCGCTTGTGTGGCCGCAGGCAGTATAGTGTTAGATTTAAATTAAATAACCCTGTATAGATAAGGTTGTAAACATCAGTGGTCAAGTCTTCAAAATTTTGTCGAAAGTGAACAAATTGGGCTGAAATGACTTAAAGGTCAACAGGACTAAATTTCCAAGCAAGTTCTGATGTTTATAAAGGGAGCACTGCTTGCAGTTTGACAATATGTATGACAAGATACTTTTTAAGAAAATGGCATACCACTGTTAGCTTTTAATTTTAATTTTAATTTTTCCTGATACTATTACAGATGACCCCCTCCTTTTTTTTTTTAAATCCTTTACGTTTATTTAGTGGAACAAAGCTATGTTTAACAGCCATATTGCTACCTTGGGGAGGTTTAAATAAGCCACTACTTCTGTATTTAAAGATTTGCTTAAAGATGTTGATAATTTTTGTAGTTAAAAACATAGTCTTTGTTTTATGCAAAACATGGTGTCTTTTATTTGTTAACATTTTAAAGTATTTGAGTTGTAACATAGGGATCTTACCCATTTGTGGGTAAATAATGTACACTGCTTTTTTAGGCTTTCTGAAGTATTTGATTCTGTATGAAAGATGGACTAACCTATCTTATTTTTAAAAAGTGTTTTTTACTCCAGTTGACCTTTAAAGTAAAATTGGCTGATATTTTTGTGAAATGCTGGTGATACCTTATGTCTTATTAGAGAAAATGAACATCTGAAATGTTATCCCTTTTCTGTCTTCCTTACCTTCCTCTACATGTCTTGATTTTAAAATCTTACAGTCACTTTTAGAAGCCACACGTAATTTTTTCTCTTACCAGGCTTCAGTGAGTCCCTGAGAATTTTAAATATTGAAATTCAGCAATTAGGAGGAAAAGTAGGAGCAATTTGCTTTTTAAAAGCTCATTGCTTATTACCTGTTTTTTATTAAGGCAGTAGTTGAGAAAAAGGTTTTGCAAGTTGAAAATACTAATAAAACTAAAAAATTAAATATAACTGGTAGGAATCAGATGGTCAGAATGTACGAAAAGAAACATTCTTTTCCTGGTAATATCATACATCAGTCCATTGCCAAACACCAAGAAGCCCAACATGAATGTCCAGTATGTGGAGAGGTAGGCCACTGACTACCAGGTGGTAACAGTGGGGAAATTTTTTCTAGCCAGAATGTGGGAAAGGATGCAGCTAGCAGAGTTTTTGAACCTGTTATGAATTGACTCTCTTTGTTTTGAAATACTTTGATATTTAAATGGTAAAACATGACTGAAAGCTGACTTTGGGGGGGATTTGGTATAAACCAATTTGAAGAACTTTTTTTGTGGCCTTTGTTTTTAAATTGTATTGATTTATACTTGATTAATTTGTTTTTGAATTAAAGGTATATGTGGGAAAATAATTGATTTTGCATAGTGACAGTATTTAAATCATTTGGGTATATTATTGGCCCCACAAATACAGTTTGACATAAAATTACATTTCTTGGCCTACATTGTTTCCTTACCTTTCTAAGTCATTATTACTTTTTTTTCATGATATCATGCTATTGAGCAGGTTTTTTTGTTTTTAATCCTTACCTGAGGATATTTTTCCATTGATTTTTTAGAGTGAGTGGAAGAGTGAAGGAAAGACAGAGAGAAACATCTATGTGAGAGAAACACATTGATTGGTTGCCTCCTGCTCATACCCTGACCAGGGCGGGGACCAGGGAGGAGCTTGCAGCTGAGATGCGTGCTCTTGACTGGAATTGAACCTGGGACCCTTCAGTCTGCAGGTCTACGCTCTATCCACTGAGCCAAGCCAGCTAGGACCATTGAGTAGTTTTATCCAATGGGACTTTCTACTATGATGGAAATGTTCGACCCTGCACCATACTGTATGGTAGCCACTAGCCTCATGAGAATTTGAATGAATTAAATTTAAGTTCAATAGCCACATTTGGCTAATGGTTACTAACTATATTAGCACAGCTAAAGAGAGTAAAAAGTTAACTCTCTTACATTTTAGTCTTAGTTCCATTTCTTGAATTTTTTCATTAGAATTACTTCCCAGAATATCCTTAGATGTTCTCCTTATTGCCCTGAACATATATTCTGGGGGGTTTTTTGTTTGCTTTTTGTTTTTTTTAAATATATTTTATTGATTTTTTTACAGAGAAGAAGGGAGAGGGATAGAGAGTTAGAAACATCCATCAGCTGCCTCCTGCACACCTCCTACTGGGGATGTGCCCGCAACCGAGGTACATGCCCTTGACCGGAATCGAACCTGGGACCTTACAGTCCACAGGCCAGTGCTCTATCCACTGAGCCAAACCGGTTAGGGCTGTTGTTTTGTTTTTATGAAAACAATGGTCGGAGTATAAGACAGGTGAAACAAAATGTATTGATTTTTTAGCATTTATAAAAAAGTGTGAGAGCTTTTAAGATCTGTTTAGAAAAATAAACAAGATATTTTGTCTGATTTAAGAAGTTTAGTATGATGCTTTACACTTTATTTTTTATTATAAAAATAAGTTAAAAGAGGTTTACAGAAAAGGGATGAAACTTATTTGGAAATTGCCCAAATCTGGATATCACCAGTGTACATGTTAAAGCATGATTTTGTTATCATAATTTAATTTTGTTTTATCCCATTACTTAATTGATCATAACTTCAATTCATAAAACCAATAACCCATTAAAAATTTGTATGTTCATATTAGTTAACCATTTTAAGTTCTATCATCTAGTTCATATGTGGAAGCATGCAATTAAGTGTGAATTTCCATTTGTTTAAACTTGACCACTGCACTGTATCACTTCCAGAATTATTTAGCTTGTTTTTTTCACTAAGTGAAATTTTCATTGGCATGTGTTTTAAAACCAGCTTTGCTGCTTATTTCATTATATGCCTGCTGTGTTGTGAAACATCTTGAACTTTAGTGCATGTTTTTAGAATTAGTACAAGAATATATTTTATGAAGCATTTTCAGATTTTTATGGGGTAACTTCTTTATGTATTTTTTTTGGTGTGTGTTTAAAAATATAAAGGCAAAAATATCTTTAAATGGAGATATTAAAAACATTCTGCATATTTTTTACATAAGTAGCTTTCAGGGCTCAGTGCCATCTAGCATGTTGTAAAGTCGCTTTAGATGAATAATATTGTGAACTGGTTGCCAATTTTTTAAAAAATGTCTCTTTATTGTTGAAAGTATTATAGATGTTCCCTTTTCCCCCCATTGACCTTCCTGCTCCCCACTCCTGCCCCCCTGATTGCCAGATTTTACCTGTACATATATCATGCCAGACAATTTTTTAAAAGTCTTTTCAGTGATGGTAGTAATGTGCCAAGGCAATATTAATATAGCTGTTTAAAGACCTTTTCTAAGTGTGGTATACTAAGTTTAACCATTCATTTTTGGTACTGGATACATGGCAGTATGAAAGAAAGCTGTAGTTTAAGAAGTTGTGTTTATTTTTAGGTAGTTATTTTATGGGCAACCAACATTACATACTCTAAGACTAGATTTATAAATGAAAGGTGGGACTATGGTATGCATGCTCTGATGTTAAATGGACAACCCTTGATTCTTATGAACCTGTGGATAAAGACTGTTATGCCTTGGTTTCTTGATTTGTTAAAATCAGGACAATACTGAACTAAAGTGTGATGTTTAAGGTCATTGTATTGTGTATATATTGGAAAATTATTCATAATACTTCTTGGGTAACTTTTGGCTTATTGAATAAAGTAACCTTAATGATTCTTTTTTTCAGGTCATAAGAAGATACTAAATGGTTGGTCCTTCTTAAAGTCACTAGATTTTAGGTCTATGAATGAGCTTTTCACTCTTTTATAGATTGTACTCAATTAACTAATGATTTTGCCTACTGAATATCCCCAGATAAAACAATACTACAACGGGAAACCCTCTATTGCAATGGTTCTTAACAAATTGAGAATCTAATAAAAGCTATATATTATTTAAAGAAAATATGCATAAACATAGATGCAAAATTTGCATATAATTGCAAATAGTTTGCAAAACTATTTGGATCTCTTTGGAGCCTATTCATGGAGCCCCAGTTTAAGGACTCCTGCTTTTTTATGTATGAATCATTCTTTATCACACAGCCAATGTTGTGTTCATTTAAATGGAAGTCAACTTCTTTTGGATATATAAAAATTCTTTGATATATAAAATTATTTATGATATATAAAAATAACTATAAATGTTAATCATATAATTTCAAAAGATCCTGAACTTTTGTAGTATTGTATTATATATTTTGTCCATATATCTGTTTGATTTAAAATGGTTTTTATATGGGATTTACTATAGAATATTTTTCTTTCCTCTTTCATTTTAATAACTTTAATACCTTGTGTCTGTCTTTTATTTACCAAGGGAAAATATTTTTTTAAAATGCATTTTGAGAATATAATTGATTCAGAATATGAATTGAGTATTATAGTTTTGGAATATATTTGTAGATATATATCTCCATTAAACAGCATTCCCTTTTTTCTTCATTCTGTTCATTTTCCTACCAATGTAACTAAACAAGGACTTACTAATTACACAGGCTGGAAGCGCAATTCATTGACGCCTAAGACAACTACTTTTCCTTGTCCTGGCTGTGAGCATGATGTGGATCTTGGAGAGCGAGGAATCAACGGTCTATTTCGAAATTTCACTTTGGAAACTATTGTTGAAAGATATCGGCAGGCAGCCAGGGCAGCCACAGCCATTATGTGTGATCTTTGTAAACCACCACCTCAAGAATCCACAAAAAGTTGCATGGACTGTAGTGCAAGCTACTGCAATGAATGCTTTAAAATTTATCATCCTTGGGGTACTATAAAAGCCCAACATGAGTATGTGGGCCCAACCACTAATTTTAGACCCAAGGTAAGTGAAGTTTTTATTGTTGGAATATTAAACTTAATTTTAGAAAAGGAATTATTGCAGGTCTAGAATTTAACAGTAAGAAAGAAAAGAACTTCAATGCTGGTATAAGAAATTAAGGCCTATCCCTGACCGGTTTGGCTGGGTGGATGGAGCGGTCGGCCTGCAGATTGGGGGGTCCCGGGTTTGATTCCGGTCAAGGGCGTGTGCCTTGGTTGTGGGCACGTCCCCAGTGGGGGGTGTACAGGGGGTGCCTGGTTGATGTTTCTCTCTCTATTCCTCTCTGTAAAAAAATCAATAAAATATATTTTTTAAAAAAAATTAAGGCCTAATAGTTGGAGTTACTTAGTATGTTGCTAAACATCCTCATAGGTTAGATGGCAATGTTATGGTTCACTTTATTATAGTACAATGTAATAAAATAGTACGTGAATGTTCACAATGATAACTCTGAGTAATAAAAGGAAGGTGATCTTGGATGTGCTCTTTAAGATTAAAATGGTTAGGTTCTTCTGGTCCTAACTAGGGACCTAAGATGGCAAGCAGCATAGAGTAAACACGGTACTCTCCTGCTCCCACAACCACATCAAAATTACAGCTAAACTGCATAACAACCATCCCTTAGAACCGCCTGAAATCTGGCTGAATGGAAGTCCTACAACTAGGGTACTAAAGAAGAAGCCACATTGAGACTTGTAGGAGGGGCAGAGACAAGGAAAGGAGTGGTCCCACACCCATGTGTTGCAGATGATACTGGCAGCTGATTTCTCAACAGAAACTTTGCAGGCCACAGGGATTATCAAGAAATATTCAAAGTGATGGAAAGCAAGGGAATCCAAGGACAGATAGAGTTTCCTAGACAAGAAAAAGCTAAAGGAGTTCATCACCACCAAACCAGTATTATATGAAATGTTAAAGGGTCTTCTCTAAGAAGAAGGAAAAAAAGATAAAAAATATGAACAAAAATTGCAATAAATACTTATCTATCCTATCAACAATTGAATCTAAAAAACAAAATGAACAAGCAGAACAGAAACAGATTCATAGGTACAGAGATCATTTTGATAGTTTCCAGATGGGAAGGGGGGTTGGAGAGATGGGTGAAAAAGATGAAGGGATTAAGAAGTATAATTTGGTTGGTACAGAATAGTCATGGGGATGTAAAGTACAACATAGGGAATATAGTCAATAATATTCTAATAACTAAGGTGTCAGATGGGTTTGAGATTTATTGGGAAGATGGATTAGTTATGTAATGTCTAATCATGGGGGGTTACATCTGAAACTAACATAATGCATATCAACTGTAATTAAAAAAAAAGTTTAAAATGGTTAAAGCTGATAGGCTTTTGTGCTTTAATATGATAAACCCATAATTATCTAAAAGATTTGATTAGGAAACATTTCCCTGACCTTCTTAGCTAAAATTGTACTATGAATAAGTAAGTGTAATTACAGCCTAATATCCTGAAACTCGTGATATGTACTATATAGTATCTGAATTTGCATTTCTTTATTTTAAATATATTTTATTGATGTTTTACAGAGAGGAAGGTAGAGGGACAGAGAGTTAGAAACATCAATGAGAGAGAAACATTGATCAGCTGCCTCCTGCACACCCCCTACTGGGGATGTGCCCGCAACCAAGGTACATGCCCTTGACCGGAATCAAACCTGGAACCCTTCAATCCGCAGGCCGATGCTCTATCCACTGAGCCAAACCGGTTAAATATTCTGAGTAATTTCTATAATAATGTTCAAAAGAACTTTATGTATTGCTTGCCTTGCTCTGTGACTGTGAAGCAGAATGATTTTTGTTATTTTCACTTATACTTTCTGTTTTATATAGATTAAAAAAACTATAATTGATTCTTAAAGTTTTTATTCCTTACAATTTAGTTATTGTGTATGAAAATCTGTTTACATTGTTGAGCATAAAACCTTTAACTTGTAATAGAAAAATGGAAAAAAGAAACACAAAAGTTAATCTTGAAACTATGAGCTGAGTATTTACATTGTATTAAATGTAGTGTAGTGTACTGGTAGATTAAAACAAAATCTTTGCTTCCATGTTTTGAATAAATTTTTTATAACTATGTCAGTGTGGTAAGATTTATTAGGTAGTTTTCAATCCTCTGCTATGTTCCTATGTCATTTTTAAATACTCAAGGTCATACATTTTAAAATTTATGACTTCAACCTGGTGTTTTACTGTCTTTTTTAAAGTTAATAAATTGATTAATAAATTCCATCATGAAAGAATCGATGATTATTGAATAAATTATATGAGGCTTGCATTTTATGAGTTAAGAACTCATGAAATTTTGAGTAAAATTGCAGTCTTATTATTTGTTTCCAAATATAATAAAACATTTATAAGAGAAAACTGAAGAAGTAGGAATAGGTTACATTGAGAAAAAAATTTTTCCCCTCTTTAAGTTGTTAGTGTTATTCAATATAGTAAAATTTTAAAAAGGTTATCCTATAGAATATTTGCCTATAGCAGTGGTTCTCAACCTTCCTAATGCCGCGACCCTTTAATACAGTTCCTCATGTGTGGTGACCCCCAACCATAAAATTATTTTCGTTGCTGCTACTTAACTATAATTTTGCTACTGTTATGAATCGTAATATGCAAGATGTATTTTCATTGTTACAAATTGAACATAATTAAAGCATAGTGATTAATCACAAAAACAATATGTAATTATATATGTGTTTTCCGATGGTCTTAGGTGACCCCTGTGAAAGGGTCGTTCGACCCCCAAAGGGATTGCGACCCACAGGTTGAGAATTGCTGGCCTATAGCCTTGTGTTCTTATGATCATTTCTTGCAGAAAGCCAAACTTTATATTTTATTTTAAATGTAGTGGCTTTGAGAATGTAGGAACGTGGACAGGCTAAAAAATGTGAAATCTTTTCCAGTTGTTTTTCTCCAGGACCTGCACATTGATGTTAGGACTTTCATATTGGACTTTTTTTTTCTTTCTTTCTAAATGATCAGAGCAGTTATAGTTGCTTAAAATCTAAACTGTCAGAAGCATGGACACCTTTCTGATTTCATCAACACACTAGTCCAGGGGTGGGCAAACTTTTTGACTCGAGGGCCACAATGGGTTCTTAAACTGGACCGGAGGGCCGGAACAAAAGCATGGATGGAGTGTTTGTGTGAACTAATATAAATTCAAAGTAAACATCATTACATAAAAGGGCACGGTCTTTTTTTTAGTTTTATTCATTTCAAACGGGCCGGATCCGGCCCGTGGGCCGTAGTTTGCCCACGGCTGCACTAGTCTAAAGAAATCTGCCCTTCCCAATGAAAATAGTTATTTTACATAAATCTTCAAATGTACCTCTAATGATAGTTTACTGAATAAAAGATAGAAATTTAACTCGGACACAATTCTAAATTTGGTTAATATGTAAAAGCAAACACATCTGGAAGCCTATAAAGTGTTCCAAGACTCTCCTAGTAGCAGATTTCTTGTGAGGATAGTGAGGCCCTGGGTTCTCATAAGTTATCTGTTATGGTAATTTATAAAAATATTGATTATAATTATTAAGAGTTGCCTAGTCAGTGCCCTAACCAGTTTGGCTCAGTGGTTAGAGTGACGGCCCCGCAGACTGAAGGGTCCCAGGTTCGATTCTTGTCAAGGGCGAGCTCAATCCTCAGTAGAGGGTGTGCAGAAGGCAGCTGATCAGTGTTTCTCTCTCATCGGTGTTTCTAACTCTAGCCCTCTCCCTTCCTCTCTATAAAAAAATCAATAAAATATATATTTAAGAAAGAGTTGCCTCATTAGTGTGGTCAGAGCCTTTCTAAGTTGGTCAAACATTCTACTTAAGTCTGATAGGAATGAAATTTTCACCATCTTATCACCAAGTTTAGGGTAAATAATATATACATGTTTAATTGACCATTTGAAATTGATCAATAGTCATTCTTATATAGAGACTTTTCATATGATATACCAAATGCTTTTATTTCTTTTTACCCTGTTATCTTTTATATGGCTTTATTTAGTGATTTTCTAAAGCAGATCTTTGTATTTTGGGACTTTGATTGCCCTGCGAGCTATGATGACCCTAAATCACAATTTTATTCTTTTACTCGATAGATTTTAATGTGCCCAGAACATGAAACGGAGAGAGTCAACATGTACTGTGAATTATGTAGGAGGCCAGTTTGTCATCTCTGTAAGCTGGGTGGTGGTAATCATTCCAATCACCGTGTAACCACTATGAGCAGTGCCTACAAAACCTTAAAGGTAGGACTTGTGTTTATTTTTGGAACTACATTTTGATTCTTTATTTTGCTTTATGCCTTTAACTTTTGCTTTATAAAATCATGAGCTTGTTATGTGGTCTGTTTTACTGGTGTTTATGCTTTTTGGAGACCTATGAATAAATGGTTAAAACTAAGACTACATAAACACAGACTACCTGTGTCTGAGGACAGAGAAAACTGGAGCCATCTCAAATAAAGGCTGCCATTGACCAGAGACTTTGTCTAAGCATTACAGCTTACTGGGAGTGACCCCTGGTGCTCTTAGACCTTAAACCATATTTCTGATTTCTGTCATCTATTCTTCTCTAGCCTCTCTTGTATTTCTAATTTAAGCTGTTTTAGAACCAAGCCCTACTTCAATTTAAATGGCCAAATTCTTCTCCTTGCTGCTGTAGCTAAAAAGAGTACCACCTCCTGCATCCCATACTTCTGGTCCTAGCAGGGGCCTGACAGGGACGTACTGGAGGAGCTGTCATCTTGTAGCTGAGCGCTGAGGAAGTACCTCTCAGCCTGGGGAATGGTGGTTAGTCTACTGTGCACTGAGGAGCTTCCAGCTCAGCTACCGACTGTGATGTTTGAACTCAGTGAGCTTCGGTTCCCTCATCTGTAAAATGCTGGGTTAAGACACAAGATAGTCTGTCTCTTTCTGTCCTTGATATCCTACAGTTCTTTCTTGGTCCCATCTTGCCTCTAGTCCTCAGAAACCTTGTTCCTTTTCCTGAAGGGTTCTTCCTCTCTCTCTCCAGTGAGTCATAAAAAAAACTCACTGTGTCTGATTGGTGAGTGTTCCAAAGAATTAAAGATGGATCTTTTAATTGATGTTACTGTGTAAAAAAGAAAAAAGAAAAAAGGTTCTTCAAGACCTGCATTAAACTTCTATCTCTGCTTATTTGTGTTACTAATATATCCCAACAGGAAAAACTTTCAAAGGATATTAATTACCTTATTGGCAAGGAGAGCCAGGTGAAGAGTCAAATTTCGGAACTAAACTTGTTAATGAAAGAAACAGAGGTAAGTGATAAACTGGTTTACATATTCATCTAGACAACTACTTTTTCATTTATAAAATTTTGAGGGTAATATGTGAGTTGGGAGTACAAACTTGTGTTAGATTTTACTTCTGCTTTTCTAGAACTAGGGAAACAAATATAAAATATAAATTATAATGCTATGACATGTGATCAGTGTTGTGATAGAGGTAAGTGATTAAATAATATTTGAGCACAGCGGAAAGAATGACTAATTCTTATGTGGCAGTTTAGGTCTCAAAAGTAGTAACATAAGGGAAATGATAACTTTTGCAATTATTTATATTTTACAAAGTTAACATCACATTTGAAAAATGTACTGTATATGAATAGAACCAGGTTTATTTAAAATTCCAGATACTCTTAATTATATACCTGGTATATAATTGAATATGTTCACCAAAAGACATGTATTCGAATGTTCATAGCTGCATTATTTGTAATATCCATAAAGTGGAAACTATCCAAATGTTCATCAATACTGAAATATAAATAGCAGTAAGAATGAGTATCTGCAACTTTGTACAACAATATAGGTAACTCTTGCAATAATACTGAAAAATGCTAGATAGAAAGGAGTGTATACTGTGTGATTCCATTCATAAAAATTGCCAAAAAAGGTGAAACTGGACTATATTGTGAGAATTCAGAATAGGAATTGTTGAGGACGGGAGGATTAGTGCCTCGGAAGTTATAAGGGTGGCTTCTGGGATACTGGTAATGGTCTTTTATTTACCCTGGATGCTGGTTACATGGGTGTGTTTGCAAATATTCATTGATCTCTACACTTATGTACATTTTTCGGTTTCTGTATTATATTTCAATACAAATTTAGAAAAATAAAAGAGGCCAGGATTGGGTTATTTTAAAATTCCACATATTCTTTACTAATTTAATGCCTGTTTCTTTTTTCTCTTTGAAATAAATTGAAGAACCATTAATTATTCTTGATCATTTTGAAAGTTATAATGAAATATAAAAAATATCCTGACTTAGTATGAGACTACTTCTTGAAAATTTTTTTCAAAGATGGGTTAAAATTATTGAGAAATTATGCAAATTAGTCCTATATTACCAGTATTGCTTTTGTTTTTAATATTCTTTTTCTGATATTTACTAATTGCATTCACCACCCTAAGTAGATTGTGGTTTTTTTCCCATGTAATTTAAAAGTGGAATTTTGTTTTTATATTTTTGTCTGATTAGTGTAATCCCCCAACACAGAACAAGTTGTCACCTAGAGTATTAGTTGCTTCGGGGATTGTGTGCTGGTCAGTTTAAGTTTGTTTTACTCCGCTGTTTCTCAGTCATGCCGCCCTTCTGAAATAAGGAGCACCCAGTCCATGCTTGGAGTTTTTCATTCAGTAGGGTGAAAATGGAGGAACTCAGGTATCAGGTATTCATGTAGACACTGATTCCTTAGGGTCCTGGAGAAATTATTTAGTTTGTACTTTTGACCTAAGCAGCATTTGTAGTCTTATCAGTAAGACTTTTCTACAATAGAGAATTTACCCATATTCTTGGCTTTTACTCAGTGATGATTGTGATACTGTCTTTTTATCTATAATGTATTTAGCTAAAAAGAAAAATCTTTTACCTACATATAATGATATTTCTGAGTTTAATGTTTTGATAGGTCTTTGAAATACTACCCAAATGTCATCACCCTCTACTTCCCCTGTCCTACCCATTTAAAAAACTTACAGCTGCTCGGGTTAGGAAACAGAGAAGGGAATCTGGAAAAAATTTTCTCTCATTATAAATATTGTCCAGAAGTCACTGGAAAATGCACAATGCACTTCTATAATATATTGTCAGCTTTTAAGAATGTTCTTGGAGACTTTTTTTTTTCCTGTTGGCTCTTACTTAGGCTCTAGTATAATGAGTGCTCTGATGGTCTTATTTTCAAAATCAAGTTTATCTCTACTTTATTGGTATTACAATGTTTATAAGCACTACAGACAGGATCATTTTTTGACAAAGTAGAGGAATATTTATATTGTAGTGAAAATAATGGTTTTTTTGAGAATATGTGACATTGTGGCAGGCATTTTATGTAAATAATCTTTTTCTATCTTCAAACCCCCACCCCCAAACCTAAATGGTTTCTCTGATCCCCAGTTTTCAGAATAGAAAAACTCAAGCATAAAGAATTTAAGTAATTTGCATAAAGTCACATAGGACTTTATACAATTAAATTATGTTATTTGAATAGCTACATTTTTATATCTTAGTAAAGGATGTCATCTTACTGAGTTTCATGGTCATGGTTTACTTTTTTAAAAAATTGGAATAAGGTGGGAAAATATCTCCTTAATTAAATTAGAAATGAATTAAAAACTCCAGAATTGTATTTTCTCTTGTCTTTGGTTAAACCAGTTAATTTTGCCTCAATTTCCTTTGTATACAAATTGAAGGTTGTTTTCTTATTTAATTAAATACATTGTTTATTGCTGAACTGTGGAGATTAAAAGTGTAAGGAAGGTACAGTATTAGGGAATTACAAAGTGCGCCTAAATAAAAGTTGCCGATCATACCTCGCTGATCATTTCTTGATGTCAAATTTCATAGACAGAATTTATTTTCTTTATAATACTTGGGTTTGTTTTATTGAATTTTGGTTGTTTTTGTGAAAAGACATTGGGATTTAGCAGATGTAGTAATGCTTTGCTTGTTTTATAATAGTGTAATGGAGAGAGGGCTAAAGAAGATGCAATTACACATTTTGAAAAGCTCTTTGAAATTCTAGAAGAGAGGAAATCAAGTGTTTTGAAAGCAATCGATGCTTCAAAGAAACTAAGATTAGACAAATTTCAGACTCAAATGGAAGAATATCAGGGGCTTCTAGAGAACAATGGACTTGTGGGATATGCTCAAGAAGTGCTTAAGGAGACAGATCAGTCTTGCTTCGTACAGACAGCCAAACAACTCCACCTCAGGTATTTTACTTTTAACCTAGAATCTCCTTAGCAATTTATTAAATGCTGCTGTATGTTCCCTTTAGCTCTGAGCAGTTTGTCATACTGTTGTTACGTGAAATACCTCTTGCTTCACTCTTTTTTTTGACCCACAAAGAGAACAGCTTGCTCTCCTTAACCTTGACTTCTGTTTAGTCAGGCCTTCTGGGTACAGAAACCCCTATGTTCTCCATTCTCCATGCACCACACCTGTTTTCTGAGTTTTTAAAAAATAATTCTTTATTGTTGAAAGTATTACATATGTCCCCCTTTTTCCCCCATTGACCTTCTCCAACCCCCTCCCTATACCCCGGCCCCAGGCCTTCAGTGTCCATGGGTTATGCACATATGCATACAAAGGCTTTGGTTGATTACCTCCTACCTCCCCCCACCCCCTCACCGCCCTTCCCTCTGAGATTCCGCACTCTGTTCCATGCTTCCATGTCTCTGGATCCAGTCAGTTCATCAGTTTATTTTGTTACTTAGATTTCACATATGAGTGCGATCATGTGATACTTGTCTTTCTCTGACTGAGTTATTTCACTTAGCACGATGCTTTCCAGGTCCCTCCATGCTGTCTCAAAGCTTACTTCACTTTTAACTTGCATGTTGAGTGAGGTTTTCTTTTGTTTATCACATTGCAGATACTTAGTCTGATTTGTCTTTTTTAACGAATCATTTTTACATAAAATATATCTGTCTGAATACAGAATACAGAAAGCTACGGAATCTTTGAAGAGCTTTAGACCTGCGGCCCAGACTTCTTTTGAAGATTATGTTATTAATACATCTAAACAAACAGAACTTCTTGGAGAATTGTCCTTTTTCTCTAGTGGTAAGTTTTACTAATGGCAGAACTCCAGTCTTTTAGTCTATATTTGCATTGTGTAGGAAAAACACAAGTTCTCTTCAGATGGATATTACTAAGTGGTATTTCAGTTGCCCAGAACCATCTTATCTTAAAATCATGTTGCATTTATGTTTCCACACACAAAACTGTATTCTATTGGTTTGTGTTTTAAAACATTATGTAAATGGCATCAAATTGTATGTCTCCTTTTTTGTAAACTGCTTTTTTAAAAAAATTAAGTTTAAGATAAATATTTGTTAGTACACAAAGTTCTGGTTTAAAGCTATACTCTGTTTATAGTATTTCATTATGTAAGTCATTTCCCTACTGAGAGAAAATTGTTTCTATTTTTTCTCATTATAAACAATACTGTATTGAACATCCTTATCAATGGTTGTTGTGTACATGTATGCGAGTTTCTCTAGGGTAGAAATCTAGATATCCCCAGGCTAAAAGTGACGAACATGATTGTGTTTACCTTGCTTTATTACTTTGATAGGGTTGCCAAAATAAAATGTCTAGAGTTGGGTGCCTTAAACAACAGAAATTTATTTTCTTACGATTCTGGAGGCTAGAAGTCTGAGAGCAAGGTGTTAGCAAGATTGATTTCTTCAGAGGCCTCTCTTGTTGGGCTTGCAGATGGTCATCTTCCTGTGTCTTCCCTCTATACACATCTGTGTCCAGATTTCTTATCAGGACACCAGGCATACTAGTCATATTGGATTAGTGCCCACTCTAATGACCTCATTTTAACTTAATTACCTTTGTAAAGACCCCATCTCCCTCCAATGAATGTGCCTTTCTGAGGTGTTGGGGATCAGAACTTCACATGAATTTTGGGGAGACACAATTCAACCCATAAGACTTGCTTATGTTTATGTTTTGCTGCTCCCCAAAAGAGAGTTCTTCCTTCTTTTTTTAAATCACCTTTTCACCCTCCTCAGATTTTTCTTTTAGTGATGGTGAACAATTACAATTCTTAGAAAGGTATACTTAATTTTAAAACATAAAGAGGCCATTAAGAGTGCTAATGTTAGAGCCCGGATAGCTCAGTCGGTAGAGCATCAGACTTTTAATCTGAGGGTCCAGGGTTCAAGAGTGCTAATGTTGCTAAGGGTGTGAAAGAAACAGTGATTACAGGCAATTGAAGAGGCAGAAAAACTGTTGTTGATTTAGATAAATGAAATGCAGATAGCCAGTGACAGCATTTCAGAGACATTGATATATGAACAAGCAAAGATCTGCATGTTGACCTGAAAGACCACCACTGGAACGAATTCTGAGAGTGATTCCTTTAAGGCTAGTGGGAGGTGGTTTGATAAATTCAAAAAAAGAATGTTTATTTATAGATTAAACAGCACATTAGACATCTATTGTATATAAGAAAGGTTTAAAGAGGGAATCATTTGGGGGTCTGGAACAGATTAATTCAACTTACATTATTTCTTATGGGGAAAAAGGATTCAGTTTTCGAACAAATCGCTCTTGAACAGCCTTCTGGAATGAATTAAGTTTGAGAACCAAGGTTCCACTGTATATATTTGTTACTCTTTGAAATGCTGATTCTACTTCATATACTATACTCCCCAAAGGGTATACTTTTTCATAAATGCTAGTTTACTTAGAAATACAAAGTCTTCCTTCCCTGGTGATCCCACAACAGTCTTTGGAAAGATGAGGTTGAAGGTGCGTAATCTTGGGTAATACCAGTGTATAACAGTGTACAACAGTGGAAAGTGGGCACCCAATTTCTGGCTGATGGATTATGGTCTCCTCATTTTCTCCTGAATGCACATTTTTTTTTAGTAAGCTATGTTTCAAAACAAAAAAGGGATGTCGGGTTGGGCCATACTAGTCATGTTATTTGTACCTAGTGTTTTCTTTTTTTCACTTTAAAATATATTTCGGATGACTTTCTAGATTTCATTATGGTTGCATAAATGCACTATACCCAGACATGCTAATACATTGCTACGTATAACTGGGGGATAAGGAGAAGAGCAGACTTCTACTTTCCATTTCATATACTTCTCTGTGATTTGATAAAAATAGGTTTGCTTGTGCGTATGTGTGTGTGTGTACACATGTAGTAACTCTTTTTAAAAAATATATATTTTATTGATTTTTTACAGAGAGGAAGAGAGAGGGATAGAGAGTTAGAAACATCGATGAGAGAGAAACATCAATCAGCCGCCTCCTGCACACCCCCCACTGGGGATGTGCCCACAACCAAGGCACATGCCCTTGGCCAGAATCGAACCCAGGACCCTTCAGTCTACAGGCCGACACTCTATCCCAGTGATGCGAACCTATGACATGCGTGTCAGAGGTGACATGCGAACTCATTTTTTTGGTTGAGTTTTCTTTGTGAAATGGCATTTAAATATATAAAATAAATATCAAAAATATAAATCTTTGTTTTACTATGGTTGCAAATATCAAAAAATTTCTATATGTGACACGGCACCAGAGTTAAGTTAGGGTTTTTCAAAATGCTGTCACGCCGAGCTCAAAAGGTTCGCCATCACTGCTCTATCCACTGAGCCAAACCGGTCAGGGCTGTAGTAACTCTTAGAGCTTATTCTTACCATATGATTCAGATGGTTTAACTTATTAGAATTTATTCTATGAAAAGGATTATGGATATGCACAATGACTTAGCGGTAATATTTTATCCATTGTATTTTTAGTGAAAAATTAGAAGCATATAAATAGTTAAAAGTTGATACATTCCATACAGTGGAATGCCACTGGGAGAAAAATACTAGCAGGATCTACACAAAATTATTGTAGTGATTTTCTTTGAATTACTTAAAACATATTTTTGCATGTTTTATGTAGCTTCTAATTATCTTACAAAAATCACGTTTATACTAAGAAAATATTATTTAAATTGCTTTGCAACTCTTTGGAAAAATATAAAAGAAAATTGTATAATGTTTCTTTGAAGTTTTTTTGCTATGTTCACCAAACTTAGATTTTACTAGTAAAATGTTTATTAAAAGAATTGTTTATAGGAGGACACAAATTAATATTTTAAAGTTAAGGGTTGTTATTCAGTAGATGGAAATTGGAGGCATATAGTTGAAATTTTTATTTATAGTGTTTGCAGAATTAATATAAAGCTAAAATCGAGTCTTTCCATTTTTGGTCTTAGTTTTCATTCTTTTCCTTTTAAGTTATAAACACAAATGTACCTTTTTAAATCTCTACTTAACTGTTTTTTAAAAAATTTTGTGGTAAGAACACTTACCACGCGTATCTGCTTGTAGCAGATTGTAAGTGTGCATCACACTAGTTGACTAGGCCCAGTGTTGTGCTGCAGACCTTTAGGCTTGTTCATCTTGCTTAAGTGGGACTTTATGCCTGTTGACTAATACCTGCCCATTTCCCCCTCCCCCCAGCCCCTGGTAACCACCATTCCAGTCTTTGATTTTATGAATTGGGCTATTTGAGATACCTCTATCATGCAGTCAGTTAAAATACTGGCAGCATCTACACAAAAATCGTCTTTCTGTGCTTGGCTTATTTCACTTAGTATGTCTGCAGTGTCCATCCATGCTGTCACATGCACAGGAATTATTGTTTTTCTCATACATAGAATTACAGATTTAGAAAGTTGAACGGTACAGAAATCATTTAAGTGTTGCCAATGCATTTTTTATTGAGGAAAAACAGATTCTTTAATAGCAACATTTTAACGTTATTTTCTGTTTCATAATTTTTCAGGCATAGATGTGCCAGAGATCAATGAGGAACAGAGCAAAGTTTATAACAATGCGTTGATAAATTGGCACCATCCAGAAAAGGATACAGCTGATAGCTATGTCCTCGAATATCGGAAGATTAATAGAGATCAGGAAATGTTGTCTTGGAATGAGGTAGAAGTTTGTGGCACAAGTAAAGTTATTTCAGAACTTGAAAGTAACTGTAACTACGCTTTCAGAGTAAGAGCCTACAAGGGTTCCATCTGCAGTCCTTGCAGCAGAGAATTGATTCTTCATACTCCTCCGGCTCCAGGTATTGTAACCATTGGGAATTAAAAAGCATAGCGTTGGAAGAGACCTTGCTAAACATAAACTAGCCCATGTCTCTGTATAGACCTACAGTAAAAGCAGCTCTCATTTGTAAAAGTTTATGGAAACCATACCCAGCTAGGTTTTAGAAATGGACTGATTACATTAATTTCACCATGTAGGCTGAGGAGAGGATTAGATTTTTGACTGATATCAAATAAAGAAAAATTGAAAGGAAGAATTTGAGGGAGCAGGGCTATTAATTTGGGATTAAAATGGCATAAATGCTACCGTACAAGTTTTAAATAGTATAATTCTATATTTGTTCCAGTTTATAGAAATCTCTAGAACATAGAATCTAGATAGATAGTTTAAAAATGTATTGGTATAATATGAAATAGAATTTTGATTAACCAAATTTAGACTTGTCTGGATTTTCTAACACAGTGATTCCTTAACACATGGGAATATTTTAGAACCACGTGGATAGCTTTCTCCCCAGCCACGGTCCCTCCCCCTTTCAAGTTAAAACCCACTGATACTACTACTTACAGACGTCTTTAGATTTTTATAGAATGGGAATAATTTATAGGTTAGTTGATGTTCACTATAATGTCTGCATGGACAAGGGACACTTAGACTAAGGTCATGCTCATTGTTGTTTGCGGGAAAACATTTTGCCCTGTTGGTCACTGCCTCAGAGGTCTGTCGGTTGGTTTCTAGACCCCATAGCCCCTGCCCGTTTGTAGTGGCTTAGTTTCCGTATTCTGTGCAGTCTGTCCTTCCTTCCCTTTTTGTTCAAAGTGTACTCATTCACTGTTGGTTTTTCATGCACATTGTGGTTAATTTAAAAAAATGAGGATACAGATAAATAGAGTTGGCTAAAAGGATTTTTCTTGAATCTCAATAAAATCCAATAGAATTTTAGGATGGATTTGCAGTTACTATGTAAATATTTTATAGTGTATCCAGTCTTCACTTTCCTTTCTAGTCTCTGACTGAAAGTGGAAGAAAAACAGAAACCTGAAAGTAGCTACTGTTTTTAGTAACAGAGTGGAGGGGGAAGGAGGAAAGGAAGTGTTAAATGTTGTCTTCCTTTTCTCTGAGAGAAGCATATGAATAGGGTGGCCATTTAAATTCAGTTTGCAAACTGGGAGATTTGAGATCAAAAGGAAGCATGCAAGCATGCGTGACTTACCACATTGACACAATAGGCATCACCAGAAAGAATGAATGTCGGCTACATATGGAGAATGGTTTTAACTTGCTAGTAGACAGTTTTGAAAATTGTGGTATAACAGTTAAAATTTACCATTTTAATCATTTTAAAGTGTACAGGTCAGTAGCATTAAGTACACTAACAATGTTATGCAACCACCACCACTCACATCTGTAGAATTTTTTCACCTTTTCCAAACTGAAACTTCATGCCCATTAAATAGTAATTTCCCGTTTTCCTTTCCCTGGTAACTGCTATTCTACTTTCTGCCTCAGAGTTTGCCTGTTCTAGGTTCCTCATATAAGTAGATTCACAGAATCCTTTGGTGACTGGCAGGTTTCAAGATTCATCTATGTTATAGCATGTCAGAATTTCCTTCTTTTTTAGGCTAATATACCAGGGGTCCAGTGCACGAATTCATGTACCTTGAAAGGAACTGTGGGCTGCGAGGCTGCTGTGGGCACAGGGGCGGGTCTCGGCCCATCCTCTGCGCCCCCACCTAGCCCCTCCCACTGCAGCCCCCAGCCCCCTCTCTGCCAGCTATGGGCGCTGCCATCTTTGTGATGGAGTGATGAAGAGACAAAATGACGGGTGTGAGTGGGGCCAGCCCCGTCAGTGGGTGCGAGTGGCGCCTGCTGCCCCGATTGCCCCTCAGGAGCAGGGGGAGGTGGAGAAGCCCTGAGGGACAATCGGGGCCGGCAGCCGCCGCTCGCACCTGCTGACGGGCGCCAAGCGATCAGGCTGGCACCAGCAGCAGGTGTAAGTGCTGGGCGGGACCTCGGCACATGGGAGCAAAGAATTTTCAGTAACCACCAGAGGCTTGCCCTGATGACAGCGACCGGCACCCCGCCTTGGTCTGGCGCCCCCGCTCACCTGCTCCACCATCCCGCCATGGCTGACGCCTGCCATGTTTTGTGCACACCCCCTGGTGGTCAGCACACGTCATAGTGACTGGTTGTTCGGTTGTTCTGCCGTTTGGTCTATTTGCATATTAGCCTTTTATTATATAGGATATTACATTTTCTTTATCCATCTGTTTGACATTTGGATTGTCCCCAGTTTTTGGATTAGCAGCTACTGTTATGCTTAATGGATTTGAGTTGATAGAGTCTTAGAAGTAATCTTATATTCATTCTCTAGTTGAGGAAATTAAAATTTAGGTTAAATTCCAGTTAAATGCTTGAGCAGGATTCAAACCCATGTCTCTCTGAACACAAAGCCTATGCTTTCTTTTTTTACACTGTACACTGTTCCCATGTTGATGAATAAGGAAAAGACGTTATTAAAATTGCTGTTATTTTTTAAATTTATAAAATTTGGAGTAAATATTTAAGAAAACATAGATAATTATGAAAATGTACAACCCTTTATTTTAGGGGCAAAACACAGATCTAATAGTGTGAAATACTTAGGATAGATTTGTTATATCAATTCTAAGGAGCCACATAAGTTTTCTCATATTTAAAATATTTTCTTCTGCCTTTGAGGTTTCTGAACATTTCCAGGTATAGAGAGTTTATTGGAAGTTATTTCTAAGTTGGGGTTTTGGTTTGTCATAGTTTGGTCTAGGGTAGTGTTATACATCCTGTCTCTTTTCAGTAATTTCTATTTGAAAAACCTATCATTTTTAACAGTAAATTTTAGAAATGCTAGTAAATATTTCTCAGACTAATTGTAAGCTTTATTTACAGTTTTCAATTTCCTCTTTGATGAAAAATGTGGTTATAATAATGAACACCTCTTGCTGAACTTGAAGAGAGACCGTGTAGAGAGTAGAGCTGGATTTAACCTTCTGCTTGCTGCAGAACGCATCCAAGTGGGATACTACACAAGCTTAGACTACATCATTGGAGATGTTGGGATTACAAAAGGGAAGCACTTCTGGGCCTTCCGTGTGGAACCCTATTCATACCTGGTCAAAGCAGGAGTTGCTTCCAGTGATAAACTGCAAGAATGGCTTCGTTCTCCCCGGGATGCAGTGAGTCCAAGGTACATTCTTTAAATTGATTTACAACTTGATAATTTTTTAAAAAGTAAACATGCTTGTTTTGCAAGGTAAGCTTGAAAATAGACCTGGATTTACTTATTACATTTCCAGCATACTTAGATTCAGGGGTTTTGGCTGTGCTTTGTGGCTGCCTAAGAAAAGGAGTCAGGTTTCTTTATTCACACAGGAAATAATGAGATTTAGCCATTTACAATGCTATGAGTAAATAAGTCTGTTTTGTATACCTCTTGATAATGATATAGCTTTGCAGTTTTAAATTTTGAAAATCACATCACTTACCTCAATTATGTGATAAAAATCATCCACATATGTAGTGAAATGCCTCTAATTGCAATACTTCACACTTGATATTAACAACTTCTTCTTTTGTCTTTAAATGTCCCATAAATAACTTGACAGAATTGAGTCATAATAAACATGTTTCCACAGCAAATAATTTCAGTGTCTTAAGAGATTGACTATTTAATGGAGATTATGCAGTTTAATTTTTTTAGATGGTGTATGGTGAAGTAGCCCAGACAACTTTTTAAAATATATATATTTTTATTGATTTCAAAGAGGAAGGGAGAGGGAGAAAGAGAGATAGAAACATCAATGATGAGAAAGAATCATTGCTCAATCAGCTGGCTGCCTCCTGCACACCCCCCACTGGGGATCAAACTAGAAACCCTGGCATGTGTCTTGATCAGAATAGAACCAGTGACCTCCTGATTCATAGGTCGACTCTCAACCACTTAGTCAAGCTGGCTGGGCCAAACATAACTTTTAACCACTTACATGAACAGAATCCCAGGTTAACAATCTGAGCGATAGGAAAAAATTTTGCACAAAGATGAGAAATTGACATAACAATGAAAATTGTATTAGATAAATGGTTACTTAAACAGTGGCATGTCCACTTGATAGAATATTAGTATTAATCATATTTTAGGAATGTTAGAAGTACAAAAAAAATTAAAATGGTTGATGTCATATGGTCATATAAAAAGCAAAGTATGCATAGGAAAAAAAATGGAAGGAACTTCGTATCAAAATTTTCTATAAGCTCCTATTGTCTATACAACAGGGAAAAAGCTTTCAGAATACTTGCTACATCATAGCTCTATGTAGAAATCCCGATTGGGAAGTAGAGTTCTGCGGAGGAGAATGAAACACGCCTTTTTTCTCCTGCATTATGCAGTGCCTGTTTATTTAGTTTGCAATTCCTTGGATTAAGGCACACATCTTGGTTTGGTATTTTCTTGTGTATGATTGTGTACTTATACATATTTAATCTTTGACAAATCCTTTAGTTCCTGTCCCCCTGGTTTATTTTTGATAGGCACAAGTTATTTTTTAGGTTCTCATCTGTGTATTATCTAGGTAAGAGTGGATGATGTTTTAAGACTGAATTTGGGGTGTGTTTGTATAATTCTGAATGGTAATGTGTAATCTTATGTTTTTGTTTTAATAGAAAGTTTTTGATATATAATTTATTTCAATGTTAAATCAGTGTAAATTGTCTTGAAAAATGTTTCACAGTTACTTGAAAGCCTATGGATAATGATTCAGATAAGATTCTACTTTGTGTGTTGTGTTTTAGATATGAGCAAGACAGTGGACATGACAGCGGAAGTGAGGATGCCTGTTTTGATTCTTCACAACGCTTTACGTTAGTTACTATAGGCATGAAGAAGTTCTTTATACCCAAGTCACCTACTTTTAATGAAGCTGAAAATAGAGTTCTCCCCATGCCAACAAGTATAGGGGTTTTCCTCGACTATGATAAAGGCAAAGTGGGCTTCTATGACATGGATCACATGAAATGCCTTTATGAGCGCCAGGTGGACTGTTCGAGCACCATGTATCCAGCATTTGCATTAATGGGCAGTGGAGGAATTCAGCTTGAAGAACCCATCATGACAAAATATCTAGAATACGAAGAGGACATGTAGTTTAAGCATCTGATGTGACTTAGAAGGAAAAATGTAGGCAAAACAATGCCTGGGTGTTTACCTTCGTAACTAATTACATATCATCTAAGTATTCTGTCGCCACACTTGTTTTTTGTGTGTGTTTCTTCTTAAAACACAGAAAACCTAAACAGCCTTGCCTCTTCCATGTCACTCTTCTGCCTTTCACAAATAACAGGAAAAGGACACACTAAAATGGTTAACTGGATTGTCTTCCTTTTTTTATGAACATGAAGTTTATTTATGTTAGCTGGTGTTGCTGATACTTACATTCCTTTTGGGGGGAAAGCATACAAATGTATTTATTACGTTGTTTTGTGTTTGGTTTTTCAATTTTATATCATGTTTGTGTCCTAAGAGAAGATTTTTTTTAAAATGCCTAATGGATAGAAGTTAGTACTAAACATTGTGTCTTGCATTTGTTTTTAAAAGAAAGATGGGGGAAAGGCCATAGAAATGGTAATATATTTAAATGGAAAATTATGTATTTTGAGATGTGTAAAGAATATTAACAGTATATTTGCCTGGAAAATGAATACTGTTTTTTTTTAAAGATCATAAACTATTCTTAAGGACATATAAACGTGTTTTCTTAGCTGTAACGCCCATATGTGCATGTGTAGTAAACATAGTTTCTTGCAGGAAACACAAAGTTAGTGGTTAACACATGTAGCTCTTCATTTTAATCACTTTCCCCCCCCCCCAGATAAAACGTGTCTGGGAAAACTTGTCATTCATTTTAATCACTTTTTCCCCCCAGATAAAACGTGTCTGGGAAAACTTGTCATTCATAAAACATGTTTTATGGAAATATTTGCACCTATGTTGAGTAATTATTTTTCATAAATATTGGTGAAGATATATTGATATTGGTCTTTTGTTTTTTTATCCCCTCTTACTGTGTCTTGTGGTTTTCATTTTTTTGGCACAAATATGACATATCAGATTGTCCTGGTTTATGTTTACATTTTTAAAGAGTTAATGATCTATTTTTAGTGTCATTAAACATAATATGTGGAATAACTAACTGGTCAGTTGTATGCATTTTTCTGTGGCTCATTCTTTGGTAATGAGCATTGGTAATAATAAACAAGTAAAAATACAAATTTAATTGTTTAGGAGTAATAACCAAAATCATAATGACTGTATCCTTTTAAAAGTTCATTTGAAGAATGACTTTATCTAAATTTTATGTTCATTTTTGAAACATCTTTTTCTTAGGTTGTTTTATTTAAACTGGTTGTTTTTTTGAAGTTAAAATGTTAGAAACTAGACTGTTATGCATTAGCACTAATAATTTTGGAATGCTTGTGACATATTCATAGACCTTAGGCCTTTTTTTAAACTATATATTTTTAAATGGAAATCTGTTATTCAGGCTGATAGCACTAAATTAGCTACCCCTCACAACCCAAATAGAAAATATCATGGAGAATTGCATTGTTTCGTAGGCTTTGTTACTTTCCCACCAATGACTAGCACTTTATGATATAGGCTGAACTAAACAAATATGCAGTGTTATGTGGATCATTGTGCAATAAAACTGCTAACGTCACTGGGTGGTCAGGTTTGATAGTCTCAAGCCCGTGTAAGCACATGTCATATAGACATTTAAAAAATAAAGCTTTAAATAGGAATAGGAAAGCTGTTTCAAACATTGTATAGTTGTAAATTGTTCTGGATTTCTTGCATTTTTAATAAAAATTAAAAGTAAGTCAAGTGGAATTATTGAAATTGTTATTCTAAAATTCTCAGTATGTTTATATGGAAAATGGAAGCAATTATTTATGAAAAGCTGTTTAGCTGAATATATTAACTTAGAGCTAAAGTTTTACCAGTATATAAAATTATTGTTGGCATTTAATTATTAGCTTTAATTCGTGTGGAAATGATCATTAGAGAAGCTTAACATGAAACTAATTTACTTCAATTAAGTCATCAGTTTGTCTAATTTTTCTGATTCATAATGGATCACATTTTGATCAAATGACTGGTCCTTTAGGTTCACATTTTTAGTCGGGGTTATGGGGCTCTGGTAGTTGTGGTTCACTGTGGATTGCAGTGGGCTATGCCTAGGACAATGTATAATAACCTCATATATACTGTTCCTTTTCTTTTTCTAAATATATTTTTATTGATTTCAGAGAGGAAGGGAGAGAGAGAGAGAAACATCAATGATGAGAGATACACTTGAGCCGAATGATGGGGTTTGAACCCTGACCAGGAATCGAACCATGACCTCCTGGTTCATAGGTCAGTGCCCACAGTGGGGCACTGTTGCTTTTCTTGAAAGTAGTAAGAGCCAGACCTATCTCCTGGGGATTGAAAACAATCTGGTCCCATTAAATCTTGTCCCGTAGCCCAACATCTGGTTGGCCTGGAGAGTGTGTTCCATGAGGGAATATAATCAGTTGTATTGCTACAGAAAACAGTTGAGAACTAGTGTTACAGGCAAGAATACTCAAGAAATTATGCTCTACCAGATAAATTTGCATTCATTTTAAAGGTGTTTATGGGATTAACATTATGAGACTTGGGGGTCTTCTTTTGCTTTAAAAATAAACCTGAAGGAATTTTAAGTTTTTAAAATTTGATTTGGAACTATATTTCACAAGTTTTTAACCTCTGCTATATATGAGACACTGTTCTGTGAATTGGGTATAAAGTGAGCAAGACAGTGAAGCTAGGTTCCTGCTTTTAAGAGCTTAATTTCTAGGAGGGAGAGGTGATAAAAATGGGAGGGTCTTCAGAGCATATGAGGTGGGAGCTAATACAGTGGGGCCTTGACTTACGAGTTTAATTCATTCCGAGACCGAGCTTGTTAAGGAGCTCGTTAACTCAAATTACTCTATCAACTCAATGCAAAAAATCGGCCTAGAGACAGCTGGTATCTCAAAAAACTCGTTAGTCGGTACACTCGTAAGTCAAGGCCCCACTGTACAAGATTTGGTGATCAGGAAAGCAAGCCCCTCTGAGGAGGTGAAACAAGTTTGACACCTGATTGCTAACAGCTGGCCATACAAAGAGGTAAGGAAGAACTCCCTGGGTAGATAAAACACAAATGCACAAAGGCTTTGAGATAGTGAATTAGATTTCCGGCAGGAAAGATCATCCACCCTGGATGGTTCAACTAAAAAGAAGTGAATGAAAGGATTGCTTAGCAGTGGTTCTCAACCTTCTGGCCCTTTAAATACAGTTCCTCATGTTGTGACCCAACCATAAAATTATTTTCGTTGCTACTTCATAACTGTAATGTTGCTACTGTTATGAATCGTAATGTAAATATCTGATATGCAGGATGGTGTTAAGCGACCCCTGTGAAAGGGTCGTTTGACCGCCAAAGGGGTTGCGACCCACAGGTTGAGAACCGCTGGCTTAGAGGTAAGGGCAACCTTACAGGAAGAAACAAGCAATGGTGAGCTGGGGAAAGACTAACCACAGCCTGAAGAGCATGGAGGACAAGGGGAAAGGGTGACTAGATCTCAGAGTGAGAACCTTAAGTGCGGATTGTTTGGTAGGAGCTGGGGTTGCCACGGGAGGCAGCTGTTTCTAGAGATGTGCCAAGACGGAGGCAGCGAGAAAGAATAGCCTCCACCTGTTCTGATCTGCCAGTGCAGTCTTTGACCAAACTCTGCTGGAAGCCAGCCAGCAAGGGCTTTCTAGAGATGCAGGCAGCAGGGGTCATCTTTCTGGGGCAGAGAGGGCAAAGCAGAGCCCTGGTGGTGGTTGGGGGGCAGGGGCATAAATGGAGAATAACTGCACAAGCGGGGAGGGCTTGGTGAATGAGAGGGAGACGGGAGGCTATTGGCCACTGTGCTGACTGCTTAAATAAGGGCATTTATACCGTCCGAAATGTTAAAAACAGAAGCCTTAGAAAGCCATGCACCTTTTCCCTTTCAGCTTTCTGGTGTTTCTCTTCCCGGTTGGCCCTTCTATGCTGCCAATCTGAGGCTAGTGGAGCTGCTGCTTTTCTGAGTTTGCCATCTCTTGTCTGAAATCTCTTTGGAATAGGGAAGAATAAGTGCTGTGGTTAAGAAAACAGTATCCTTAAAGTGCTGACCAGACTGATACCTGCATGCTAAGTAAGATTGTAGAATACTGTCCAAATGAAAATAAGTTGACGTGCTGTGCATGAGTTAGACAACAGTCTGCCTGCCTGTGGATAATTTAAAAATACTTTAAAATTCTTTCATTTCCCTCTAGATTTCTTTGTGTAAATTATCTGAACTCAATGGTTTATTTTTTCAATGCCACCACTGCTTGCTTTTAGGAAACCTAAAAAAAGTTCCTTGGTGTTTATGTTGGCCCCTGTTTCAAATGCAGGTTGAGTCCATACTGACTAGCCAGGTTACATGACTGCCTCTGGAGGTCTGCTTTCTGTTCTTGTAAGGCTTGGTCTCCTCAGGCACAAGTCTTCTAAGGGTAGAGCTGCTCTCCTTTGGAACAGTGTACCTGTCCTGTAATCTTAAGACTTGGAGCAACCTGATTTTCTAACTTACTTTCCTAGGTTGGGTGGTAAGGACTATAAGCTTCTGTAAAAGTATTTTATATCTTTTCAAAATGATATATATTATACCTGTATATTTTCAAAATAACTCCTTAATTTGTTTTCCTTGTTTGGATTCCTTTTACCCTAGAAGGCCCCTCCATTTGTTTAAGCAAAGCACTTCTGACAATATGGAAAAATTGTAGTTCAGAAATTATTTTCTTGGTAAAATGTTGTGGATCACCAAGTCCTCTGATGACTTTGACATGCAAGCATTTGAATTCCTTCTTGGAGCATATCTAACATGCCTTAAAGTCCTTTAGTAATAGAGAATTCTAAAAACATTTTTGAAGTGTAAAGGTTGGTATGTTGTAGTACTTGTTGAAAAGTGACCTAATTGACATAGGTTTTGGGGAAAGCCAAGGGCTCCATAAGCAGATAGGCTGGGTTCTTTAGTAATAGAGAATTCTAAAAACATGTTTAAAGTGTAAAGGTTGGTATGTTGTAGTACTTGTCGCAAGGTGACCTAATTGACTTATAGGTTTGGGGGAAAGCCAAGGGCTCCATAAGCAGATAGGCTGGGTGATGCTGTTAAGTAAAGTCAGGCATTTGGATTTTGCAGTTCTCAGCATTTAGTGCCCACGTGACTCTGAATCTCAGAGAGAGCATTCTAGGGAACACAGGGACATACTAGTTATGGTTAGTATGGATTTTTGGTTTGGATTTATATCTGAGGTTTGTCACTTATTAGATGTGTGATCTTAGATAAATTGTTAACCTGTGAGCTTCATCCATCTGCAAACTAGTTCTAGTGGTGTAAATGAGAGAATGTAGACAAAGGACATAACAGTGTCCGGTATGGTAAGCCACTCTATGGGGGCTGCACTTATAGATTATGAGCAGTTTTGAAAATTAGATTTAACCTCCTAAGAGATCTTTTACAAATGGTGAGAATATATTTGAAAACAGAATTTCCCCAGAAAATCGTAAGTCATGTAATTCAACTGAGGTTATTTGGTATAATGCCCAAAATCAAACTGGAGAGACATATGAAACATTAATTTGAGGCATAATTCATCCAATCAGATAAAAATTAAATCCAGTTTTCCGTGAAATCAAGATAATATAGTCCAGGTGTATTTCTTATTATGTAACAGTGAACCAGAGCTCATAAAATATGCAAGAAAATGACTTCTGTGGCCTGTGTCAAGGTCAGAGTCTCAGGCAAAGTTGGTTCATGATGGATTTCTCCTTGGCTCCTGGAGCCTGCAGATGGTCTTGTGAATTAAGAAGCAGCAGGCACTGTGGAGCAGCGCTTCTAAGTGTTAGCGTGCACATGAGTCACCTGGCCATCTTGTTAAAATGCAGAGTTTACCTCAGTAGGGCTGAGGTGGGGCGGGAGGGCCTGCATTTCTAACCAGCTCCAGGTGAAGCCAATGCTGCTGATCCCAGGTCACGGGAGCAGCTGGGCTTCAGGGAATCAAAGGATTCCTCCCTGCTTGTGGCCTGGGAATGGAGAGGAGGTACCGGAGCATAAATTACTTTTTCGTGAAAATGTATCAGGCTCAACTGGAACGGGATCTGTGATCGGAAGTAGGTCCCAGGATGTTTGCAGGTAAGGCCAAAATTACTTCTTAAGGAAGCTTTGAATCAGCGTGGATCCTTGGGCAAACATTCAACGGAAGCTCCCCACAACGCTGTGTCACACAGTGAGGCATGCCTCCGATATTGCGGATTTGGTTCCAGACCACCGCAATAAAGCTAGTACTGCAAAAAAGCAAGTCGGAGTCTCTTGGCTGTTGGAGGGGTCTTTCTTTCAACTTGTAAAAAAACGCATCTGTGAAGCACAGTAAAGTGGAGTGCAATGAAACGAGGTCTGCCTGCAGAAGAGAGAGGTTGGACTTCCCAAATTCAGTGCAGGGTTTATAGGGCACCGCCACCGACGTGGTTTGTTTTACATCTCAGCATGTATCTTCCAGACTGTGTCTTGAGTAGAATTTGCTTAATTCTGAGCCTTAGTCCTTGATAATATTACAATGAGTTAATTGTAAAATAGAGCCACAATTAGCTAAAAGGTTTGTTAGTTAGGATTTGTCATTTCAAAAGTTTGCCATTTGTTGATTGCTGTGTTCCAGGAACTACGCTAATTGCTTTATGTCAATCTTATTTTAATTCTCATAACACTTTGAAGAGGATTTTACCCATTTGCAGATGAGGAAACTGAGCATCGACAAGATTAAA